GCTCCTCTGGTGGGGCCGCAGGGCCGGGCCCCCACTCCGCCGCTGCGGGATGGATGTAACGCACCCGCTGGAGCTGTTCCCTGACCGCAGCGTGACTCTGCTCCTCTTTAACCACGTGAAAAATGCCGCCGCACTAAGGAAAAAAGCCATGGAAGGGGCCATCGAAGGAGCACTGGTAAACCCTGCAATGGTGAGTGCGTGAGCGCTCGTCTCGCCCTGTGTGCTCCGCGTTGCGGTTTGGCAGGCCGTGCGGGAATCCTGCCCTGCTGAGCTCTGAGAAGCGACCCGCGCCTGTAGCCGCTGTCGCGGGAGTTTCTGTGCGAGCTCCTCGCTCGCTTCCTGTGCGCCGTGCCCCTCCTTCGATGTCCTTACAGTGCCGTGCAAGCATTCATCTGTGTAAAAGAAAGATTTGGCAGCATCACCGAAACAGTTGTCGTCTTGATTCATTTCACATCCTACTTGGTGGAGCTATTTAAATCTACTTCCAATTGCTTAATCCTGGCAAAAATCTTTCTGGAGCCTTTGTTCTCATTTAAACCCATAACTAGTTTCTGAATCTAGTCTTTTTTGTTATAATTAGCAAAGCAGTAGTTAGGGAAGGGGAAAAAAATCTAATCTGGCAGTTTGCTGACAGAAGATTTATTAACGTGATTCTTTTTTTTCAACAGATTTTGGTAACCTCATTGAGAGAGTGTAATCTTTATTTTTATGTATGTATTACCTCATGCATGAAATAAGCGTGTTGACTTTAGAAAGGCAAGAATTGCTATAATAACTAGCAGAATGCTGCTTCGCTCACTTCTACTATTGCAGACTTAGGCTATGGTCATCACAGTTTTTTCAGAGTTCAAAACAGTATGTTAAGTTTCTGTTTAACTTCTGTTCTGTTTTACAGATTGTAGATCCTTTTCAGGTTCTTGTGGCGGCCAACAGAGCAGTTCATCTACACAAGATAGGTAAAATGAAAACCAGGACTCTCAATGCTGAAATTATTTTCAGCCTTTCACCAAGCAACAATGTAAGAATTCTTGAACAAATATATAATTTTTTTTTCCTCAGGAAAGCTTGTTAAGATCCATGCAACCAAACTGAATACACATATTCAGTTAACTGTTTACCTGGCAGTAATAATAGAACTTAGTTTTTTTTTAATAAGACTAATATGCTGTTATCTCTTGTAGCTTGTTAGAATTCCATTAATGAAAAACGTGTGTCATTTTATATTATTTGGCTTGTTTGACCCAGTAACTAAAGGTTGCTTACACGCAGTGAGAAAGTGAATTGCAATATCTTGATGTTTTTCATCTTTTCTTAGATTTCAGATGCATTTAAAAAGTTTGGCATTTCAGACAGTGACACAGCAGTACTCATTGTTCTGGTTGTGGACAGAGGAAAAACTGTAAACCTGGAAGATATAGCATCTCAGGTGGAAGGCCAACAGGTCCCTCTAGATGAGCTCCCCCAACTGACAGACACTGCCAAAGTTAAGAAGGTAGGTAGCCAGGAGAGGTGGCTGGTGTAGAGAAAAGGGATCGCTTATTTCGATGTCTGATTACATATCAATAGACATAATAGCTTAGGGTCTGTATTTCTTCAGCACAACTGGAAATTTGTTGTAAGTCAGCCTTGATTATTTCTTTCTCACAGCTCTTTTACTTGGAAAAAGTTCTGGTGCTGCACCCTGACATCACAAAATTTAAGTCTTTAAATTCTTGATGTTGTCAGGAAGCCGGAACTTAAAAATAAATTCCAGCTTGCCGCCTACCATTCAGACACTTTGGCTTCCTGTTTTCTCAGGCAAATATCATTTAGTTAAAAATAAGTTTTCAGTCCTGAACAGTTTCATAATCTTAAGTACATAAATAGCCCCAGCATGGGTGGCTGAAATGAAGATGTGTTGACGAGGTGCTAGGAGCTGTGTTAGGACATGTGTGCTCTCAGCAAGTTCCCGTGTGCTAGATCGGTGTCCTGAGGCGTATGTGTTTCACTTGAGGAAACTCAAGTAACTTGAAATCATCTTCATCATGTCCATCAAAGTAGTGATGAGGGACGTGAGGAACATTGGACAAATTGTAGCATGTAACGTGGAGCTAAAAGTGCTGCTCTCGTTCAGTTTCTTAGCTTTCCTTTATGTCTTGCAGTGTCAGAATTTGCGTGTCATGTAGTCACAAGATGAGACTTTGCAGTGGGGAGAGGGGGAAATCTTGTGCACATAGTTTTAGAAGGCACGCGATCAATTTTTGTCTTCATTAAACAGCCTTTATGCTTTTCTTTTTTGTCTGCAGATGTACAAAATTACTCCACAGGAAGAAAAAATCGGCACTTTAGTGGACAGTATTGTGTGCAGAATGTCAACAAAAGATGTTTTATGAAAATATGGTAATTTTTTTTAAAGCAAAAAGAGTAAGGTGTAAAAACACCACTTCATTGCAATTCATCCTGCAACTCAGAGAATGTGATGAGAAACTGAGTAGTTTGATGAGATCTGAGCTTTAACCATAAGGAGCAAGCTTGGGTATAGGGGTAATCTGAGCTGTGTTCTAAGCACGGGGAGCAGTTCTGTGCAGAGCAGAATCCACCATTGGCATTTCTGTACATCTTCTTAACAAGAGGAAAAAAAAAAACTCTTTGGCCACTGCCCTCAGTTGATCATAAACGCAAGGCTTGGAAATCCATACTTGTTTTTCTCTTTCATCAGATGTTTTGCCAGTCCCAGATAGGATTCAAACATTGTAAATAATTTTTATTAACACTCCTCTGATTTGTTTTGTTTTGGCATCCCTGATGGATGATATCCTTTTAAACAACAATATGACTTCTGGAACAGGCATCTCTGTGGCACGAAGTATGGCTGGTGGACTAGAGAAAGGAGAAGTTTCAATAAACAATCAGCAGCACCTCCCTCTTTCACCTTCTGAGATAGAGTCACTGCCCACCTTTTGGGAGCAGGAAGGGGCAGGAGGGGCACCAACAGTGGGGCAGTGTGGAGCAGGGGCATGGGAGATGGGTAGAACAATGAACGAGGTCAGTGTGGATGATGCCTTGGTGGTGTTAGCACCTGACAATCTGATGTCATCAGGTGCAGTGTGCTGCTGGGGTGCTGGTGTGTTGCTGTGGTACTTCAGCCCTGGCCTTAAAGGATAATCACAGAATCCTTTATAATGGGAGGTGCTTTTTGTTTGTGGCACTGAATTAAGGCATGGGGGTGCCTACTTCTGTGGGCCTGGTTCCACATGCAGAATTCACAGAGAAATATGCACCATATATTATGGACAAATTGTCAATACAGCTTCCATAGTATTCTGAAAGGATCATTAAACTCCTTTTGGTTTGTTGAACCACTGTTAGGAAAGGCCATGGAAGGGAACTAAAAAGAATATTGATTTCCAGTAGTCACCAGGACCAAGAGCTCTGCATGAGTATTGTTTAATCACATGCAGGCATTCTATTTAAGAAAAATTACTGACCTAATTTAGGTAGAAAATCATGCTATTTGTTACTGTCATTTTGTACTGTTTCTCTAGGACGTGTGTACAACCACATAGCTGTCTGCATTTTTGGTTTGGGTTTTGTTTGGGTTTGTTTGTTTGTTTGTTTTAATGCTCTCTGAGCTATTGCAATTTGTGTACTTGAAAGGCACGTAGCAGACTTTTACACAGTGTTTAGGAAAACAAAATATATTTTGGGGGAGAGGCAAGTCTGACAGAGTTGAAACATTATACACAACAGTAAACAGACCAACAAACTGACATGTAGAACTAGTATTGACCATGTTTCTGTATCTAATACAGAAATCCTTAGTTTCTGTTTTGCATTTTGATTTTGATTAGTTCTTCCCTCAAAACAGAAATACTGTCCTTTTCTTACCAGCCACATCAGTGGCAAACTACTTAACGAGTACCAAGGGAATGGCAAGGTTTATCAAAAGAACTGATTCAGGAGAAACAGCTGCATTAATTTCCTGATTTTAAGATGATTTTACAGAATGTATCATCCTCTCTAAAGAGGAATGTGAGGCAGTAGTGAAAAACGGGGCTTGGAAGGGCTTGAGTCTTTTGAAATGAAGTGTGCATAACATCATCCTGTGAGAATGACCATGGAAAACAAGACCTGTTTTCTAACAGTCCGGTTGGTACATGGACTATGTCATCAGATTTGCTGGCTGACCTGCTGACAATGGTTTTAGTAGCTTAAAATAACAGCAGACAAGTTATTAAAACCCACAGCCTTTTCTGAACATGTGTAAAACATCGTTCTGGTCTGTTTAGGAGAACTATTAATAAAAAGATCGCTGTATAAGAATTGATAACCCAAGTTCCAAACTTGGGTTCCCAGTTTCTAAGTCTTGTCACTCTGTTTCATTGACATAGAAACAGTAAATAGTTTGTTACTGTTGCTGTGAGTTAAATTACAAAATTGTGATTTACTATGAGACCCAAATGAGCTCTTTTCTTGGGTGGATTTACTGGAAATGATCTGGGGAGCTGAAGCCTCCACAGCATCACTTAGTCAGGCAGATGATTTGGGTCTGTTGGCAGTGAAGACTATAGCATTGCCTTGCAAGACCACAGTTTTTCCCTACCCCTAGTTGCATTATCTAAGTTAAAATTACTTTTTAGAATTACTTAAAAGACCAGGAAATAAATGTAGATTTTGTCGACCCTGCAAAGTTACACTTGTCTTTCTGAACACATCAAAAATTAGCACATTTGGGTCTATAATGTTACTGTTAAATCAACCACCGCCATTTTCAGAATCATTCCTTGGGCAACCTGTTCCA